CGATATGTCTCATTTCTCTTGTGGAGATATAAAAGGAGAGGGCTGAGAGGGAAAAATTAGAGGGGTGGGAGAACAAATGCTGTATGGAATTTGAGATTATGTATTTGGTTTGTGTGTTTCCCTCCTGTTTAAATCAAACATGTGGGGGCCGCGTAGCCCTGGGCTTGTTGCTGGTGACAGTTTCAGTGTTTCTAGACTTCTCTCCTCCCCCTTTTCAGCAGCAGTCCTGAATTGAGAAGCGGGGTGGAACGGGGTGTGGGCTTCTGGCGGAGGGTGAATTAAATAGTCACTCTCTCTCTCTCTCTCTCTCTCTCCCCCCTTGCACTTTCTCTTTTTTTCAGTGGCGTTTAAAATCAATTCATTCAGTGGACTGCTGACACAGCCCGGCCCAGAGAGCCCAGGATTTATGGCTCCCTCTAATGGGCATGCTCTGAACCAAAGCCCTGCCGTCAGCACAATCCTGCCAGCCACCCATCCGCCCCGCTCCCTCACTCCATCTACCTTTTAAAGATGCAGGCATCCCTCCTCTTCCTTCCTCTGCTCCTCCTCCTCCTCCCCCCCCTCTCCCCCTGCTCGCATCGCCCCGATGCTGGCGGCAAAGAGGCCCTGCGAGCGCGCTCAGGATCCAACAAATTTATAACACGACGCAAACAACAGCATCTTCATTTTGTAACGCTGGGGTGTTAAATGCCTTCTCTTTGTGCTTCACGGTGATTAATATCAGAGGAGTTTCTCTTCCAACAAGTGGTGCTTTCCAGAGCGGTGAATAATACCTTGCTAACTATTATTAGACATCTATTAATATCTGCAGTAGTTCCCATAGCAGCATTTTATTTATTTATTTATTTTTGGATAAAGAGGAGCACATATTTTTCTGTAATGCAGGCAGACATTTGGTGTGGTGATGACCGAAGAGCACTGTGATTACTCACCGTAAAAGCAGAGGATTTCTACTTCTCCAAAAGGAAGAAGAAATAAACATGTTCAGCCTCATTCTTTTCCTCCTTCTAATCATTAAAATCCAAGGAGATCTTATCTAACAAGTGGTGGCTCCCGGAGCAGTATATAACGTCTCTGCATCCATTATCTCGTCTGACTAGTGGCACTACCTAAGGTCTTGTGAGTGTATATATATTCATGTATTCATAACCAAGTCTAGTCGTGTCACAGGATCTGAAACAATTTATGGCGCGGAGAAGAAAAAAAAACATGATTGAAAACACTCGCCTGTGAACTCAGTCAGTGTAAAGGCATAAAAAAATGATCATGGCCCGAATTGCAATGACAACACCAAGTCGCTCCTGTGCACTTGATTCGAGTGAGTTGGCCAGTCTCTCGGCAGGAGGCTGTGCGCCGCTGCTTTGTGTTTATTTCTATGACAGTATGTCTGCGCGCACAAAATATGCCACGCCACTCTTGACCCCATTATATCCTCAGGCAACGTGGCAATTTGCAGACAAATACAGACCTTAACTTCAGCCCTGGAGCCTGCAACTTACATCCTTCTCCATATTCCAGCTCGGCTCCCGCAGCCTGTCAAGGCGTTATGGGCCCTGAATTAGCCTCCCATTACAGCAAGGCTCCAGCTTCCCCCTAAAGTTAACCATAACTGACCATTTGCCGTGGCTTCATTATAAAGCCATGCATGTAAAATCAAGTCGTGGTCCCTGGCCGTCACATTCGATTTCAAAATACAATCCCCAGCTCCCCCTCTCGGAATCTCCATCTTTCTCTCTTACTTAAGTTCAACCTTCTCCTTGTTTCATAAAATATGATCTGATTAAAATAGATTACACACCTTGTTAGCGGAGCGTTTCATATTTGATACAGTGTTGCTTTAAGATGGGCAACCTCCTTCATGATTCAAAGTGATTGTGGCCTTGTTCTCTGGCCTATTTGTTTAATAAGCTCTGCTACATCAGCGGGCCTTTTAAGTGAACACGCTCCCCTGCAGCAAAGGCAAAAGATCAATACCCACACCTGTAAAAAAAAACACACAAGAAATTTTTTTTAAAAACGAGGAATCACGGCGGCCAAGGATTTTCTCCGTCTAAGGAGTGGGAGGCCAGATAATAAGCAGCAATCCTGACTGTATGAGAGGAAACCCAAAACAGGAAGCAGCTTTTATGCGCTGACCTGTAGGGAGAGCTGCGGGTCAGCTGTGAAATATTCAGGCCCGATTAGCCCAACGCCGCTTAAACTAAAGCTTTCCGATCGTACGAGGTATGCAAATGGGATATTGCAAACACAAAGAAGAAAGGCAGCGTCTTTGAGGGTAAATGAATTCATTATAATCCTCACCTCATCTGCTCGCTGATGGAAGACTTCTCGTGTAATCGCTGATGGGGGGAAACCTTCCACTGTACCCAGGGAGCTCAGATGTGGGAATAATACCGGGTCGGATCGCCTTAAAATGAAAATAATACTCCCCCATTTACCGTGAACAAAGTCCATGTAAGAGGGTATAATGTAATACTGTGCTTGAGGAATGTAATTATCATTTAGTGGGTCCGTGAGCTGTGTTTGACAGGGCCTGAACTGCATGAAAAACTCATTTTCATTTTTCTTATTATATCATGATTATATAAACATTCTTAACCAGTGGCCACAGCAGCAGCAAATTATTGCAAATTAGCCCCATATTGCCAGTTTTTAGCGGAGGCAAATGAACAAGCACTACAACTCCAGTGTTTATTCCATAAATCAGCCAAACGCAGCACCTGTTGAGAATGTAAATAGCTGAGGCTATTTGATTAAACTTGCATCAAAACATTTGAAGAGCTCTGCTCGTTTTTGGGGCTGTTTATCCTCCTGTTTTCATCTCCACGTTAAGTTTGTTCTCTCCGCCCACGCCCGCTGCAAGCCGAGTTTCGATGGGCGGTGATGGGGGAGACATAACACCCACCAGCTATACGTGGGGTCACGGGAGGTCCGTCATTACCGAGCCACAGTGGTGATCACGGCAATAATATAGAACTATAACCGAGCAATTAGACTAATGGAAAACGTCCCTATTTCTCCCGGTGTGCTGCAGCGAGACGCGCCGCATGCCCCGCGGGCCCCCCGCTGAGATGAGGCTGGAGATATGAAGTGGAGAGGAGGTAATGGCTGGGGCCCATTGATCCTCGCTGCCACCTGCTATATGGCTCCGCAGAGGACGGGCGAGGAGGCTGAGAGCTTCATCTGGGGAGAGATCACACCGACTCCTGGGCTCTCAGGCATATGGATAAGAGTCTTTTTCTAGTCTTCCGCTACTTAACCAGCGCACATCAGCACAATATGGCCGGATAGGGTAGAGTAGGACGCGCATACATACAGCCTTTATCGCAGTGAGAGAGCTTTCACACCGAAAGGGCGTGAAGCTGTTTCCTCAAACTCTGGAGTGTTTCGCCCCTGGTGTGAAGAAAGGTGACGACCGCTGAAATAAAAACCACAATAAGTGGCAAAGGTCTCGCTCTCCTTTTCTTTTTTGTCTGCACGCAGACGAGTTGTTGCTGCGCTGTAAAGCCACAAAATCATAACTCATAATTTGTGTTCGTGAACATGAATTCCAGCGCTTGTAATGTGATGGAGATGCAAAAGATGCCTGTAGCCCTCGCCTCCAAATACGAGGTGTTAAAAAGCCAAAAAAGCTGGAGTCGGGTACCAAAACAGGTTTTCTCTCTTAACAGCTGTCACAAAGGTAATTCCTTTTAATTAAAGTTAGGAAATAGGCTGCTAACACACTGCACCCAATCACAATTTGCTTTGCCTCACCTTCAGCACCTGATGCCACTGAACTGGACCTCTCGACAGCCTTTGCCGCGTCGGTGCCTTTGGGAGAGGTTTTATTGGAATGTGACGCTGACTTCTGTCTCCGAAAGGCAGCAACAAAGGCTCAGTGATGTGACAGTGGCTTTATCTATCTTTTATATACAGCCTATTATATTTGTATATAATATGATCGCTCAGAGAGAAAGTCGGATAAAAGAGAAGCTCTTACTTTTTTCTCTCCCGCTGTGCACCACTCCGACATGCTGTTCATTTACCCGACGGACACAGCAGAGAGACGGAGAGAGCTGTTCCCGTGCAAGGTGAGCAAGACGTTGTTGTCAAGCAGGAGGACACTGTGCAGATTTGTTTTGCTAGGTCTTGCAAGTAGGAGCTAAATCTCTAAAGTTACAAAGTTAGCGACAGCGCAGTGAACTAAAACGTGATGATCGCAGCTGTGAGCGAGAGGGGCGTCGAGATGGTTTATAAATAAAAAACAAATACCTACAATATTAATAAATGCCCTAATTCAAACTGACTGGTCAGGATTGGCATAGCAGACAGAGTGGCATTAAACAGGGACTGGTGACCCCCACCCAAGCTGGACTTTAATGCTGTACCACCCTGGGAATCATTTTATTGCACTCCCTGGTTGAATTTGAAGTGTGCTGCTTCCCTGAACATCCCCAGCTGCACAGTGCGTGTGCTCTGATACACATGAAACCACAGCCATGACCTACGTCACAGACCTCTAACAGCCCCCGGAGCACATGCATACATCACCGGGGCGATGTGAGCAGCTGTATCACTGGAGAGGTAATCCCAGTCCCTCTTCTCTAGTAGCTGAAAACATTGGAATTTTATCTGTCCCTTCACTATAGTAAAGTGTGTTTTTAATCAACATCAGAATAAGATGCTTTAAAAAAAATGTCACAATGAAAATAAAGCACTGAAAGTGTTCTTTTTTTCCTGTGGATAATTTTTGAAGACAATTTTTTAAAAATCTGGTTTCGATCTTTTAGCCTGTGAAGCCAAAAACAGGAGGAAAAAATCCAAAACTAGACAAAGAATGTGCAGCATGTTCACAGTGATGATGTTCACAACTTAAACCTCTGCTCAGGAAAAGCTGTGGATAAATTAACTCAGTGTAAACTCCACTTGGCTATAAGATAAGATTAAAAAAAAAGTCAACCAGAACACAACAGACCAACAGGAGGGGGGGTCCGAAGGGGGTTAGTTAAGAGTCTGACCTGCCCAGCTGGGGGTCTCCATGTACAGGTGAAGCCGGTCGGCCTGGAGCTGGGTCACTCGACTCGCTGCTGTTGGCACAGGTGCTGATGAATCCTGAAAATGGAGAAGAGAGGAAAGCTCCTATTAGAAAACAGAGTGCAGCAGCGAGAGGAGGCGATTCATTTAATTATGCGCTAATGAAACAGGGAACAGAATTCAGCCGTCTACTTTTACTACTTCATACTAAAGCTGTCACAATATCACACTTTTGCTTCACGGTGATCAAACATTTCACAATAACAACATCGATGTGACGCGTGCAGAAAATCTGAAAAACACAGTGAAAGAAATCATGTTTGTAACAGCAGATTTTCATCCAAAATCCAAAAATATATCCTAAACATGAAGGCATGTTTCAGGTTAGTCCTAACATGACATGTGGAAGAAGACAGGTGAACGCAGTCAGTGTGCTACAAACACCTCAGCGATATTAACTTCACCCATATGTCGAGTACACCTGATGTACAGTGAACACTTACTTCACAAAGACATTTGGCTGGTAATATTTAGAGACTTTCACCTTTTTAGATAACATAATGGAAAAATTCACAGGGAAATACTTTTTTTCTTCAGGCCTGTAGAGCTGGATGGTTTTCACTGTGTGATGCTCAAAGAAAAAAAATCCTTTGAAAACCTCAGCAGCGTTACTTTTTTTCAAAATCTACAAACCCTGTTGGGAGCAGTTTCACGCAGGAACTATTTTTTTTCTACCCAACTACACCCCCCAGCCATATTACTGTGCAGAAGGGGGCGTGCATTTAGCAGTGAGTCCAGGCTTGCACTTCTAACAGAATGTCAGGATGTAGATGGTGCACACCTTGGTTTAGCAGCAGTGCAAACTAGCTGAACCCTTCATTTAGTTGCTGAATGCAATCGGTAAATAGTTCCTGCATGAAACGCCTCAAAACAAGGTTCACGAATTTTTACCAAGCAGCTCAGTTTCATGTTCGTTTTTGGTGCAAAATCAGGCCAGTGCCATCAGGCTCTATTATAACCTTTCTACAATCTCCAAAACAAGCTAGATGCATATATGCTACTGCAACTGAACTGTCCATTTAATAGATAGTTAAAGGGACGTCTAGTTAGATGAGGAGAAGTGATTCGTTTGGCTCTGTGAAGGCTTAAATAAGCACCAAATCCTAGTAACACCTTAAAATAACTAATAAATAAGGAGCATTTTATTTGTTTGACACGTTCGCACAACTTCCACATAAAGACAATGATGTGTAGTTGTAGGGGCGTGAGCCGCTGGAGCCACTTCTTGACATTTTGTCCTGCTGCGTAGCATCTCCAGCTAGCATGAGGTGCCAGATACAGTGAGGAAGTGCAAGTTTTGTTTAGTCTCTTCACAGGCACAGTGGCACCAAACTTGACAACCTCACTGCAACAACAAGACTTCCAGCTGTTGCTCACCAGGAAGTAGTTATAGTGAAATCCATTTAAGTCGAGGTTTCTAAAGACGTCTCCTGTCACTCGCAATAAGTTGTGATGACGGCAGAAAATAGCACTCTGAATTTAGCGATCAAAAAAAACAATGTCGCAATTACACCGAGTACGTTTGGTGCATCGTTTGCAGAGCTGGTATTAATCACCGGCGCTCGATGCTGTCAGACGTTACATCCCGTGTGTGTGAGATGCAGAGCCAATACACAAAGCATATATATCTGAATGTTCCTGCATGTTTGTGCCTCAGTGGGTGACTGTTCTCATGCAGCAGGAGGTTTTTCTGCTGACTTGTGTATCTTCGCAGGCCTCTGGTTGGCTGTTGCCCAGAAGCCCAGCCGGTGAACCGCAGAGAAACCGCATTGATTTCATCCCAGCAGAAATCCCTTCTCCTGGTTCCCGCCTCCCTACCCCGCCCAGCACCTGATTAAGCATTTGCAGGGAGCCATGCCAACACAATTTGTCATTTATCAAAAGTAATTAAAAGCAATTTCTTTTCTCTTGTTGATTGGGAATTGACTAATTGTTGAGTCAGTGAAAACGGGGGAATAAATAAAACAGGGAAGGATGAATTTTACATAAACTCGGAGGAAAACATAAACGCTGTAAAACGAGGGCCAGACATCTGGCTCTGTGATTTCTCTCTACATGATTATGGCTGCAAAACCGAAACAGTTGTTTAGCGCATTCAGATATACAGCCCATAGGCAGTAAATAATATATTAGAAACAGCATATTGACTAGCTGACTTAAAAGGGTGTTTTCACTTCATGTTGTGTGAACACAAGAGTGGGAGGAAAATACAAACACTGGTTGGTTATTTGTTAACAGGAAAAAAATGAAAAACGCTGCTCCCACTTGTGCCAAAAGAGATATTTGAGCCGGTAAATACCAACATCTCAGTCTCGGAGAACCCCCCAAAAAAAGGGACGAGACACAAGGTGGAGAGAGGCTGGAGCCATCCCACAGCAGAGGTTACAGTACATCTATCCAATGAAACCAAGCAATACCGTTTCAACATTATCGGTAACAACCTCTGAATGCACCATTACCTTCTATAAGGGCAGAATGAAATGTCAGAATTGATTCGAGAGGGGAGGGTTGAGATATAAGTGGGCAGCTAAGGTGGCCATTTTGTTTCAGCGGCCCTACTCGGTGTCCCTGGATCATTAGCGGACGGTAAGAAAGAGCTGGAAGAACATGAAGGAGGTGTGGGTGGCCATCGCACACATCTCTGGTGACAGCATATGAAAAAGCAACCAAAAACAAACACACACACACACACACTGACATGGCAGGAATCAAAGGGGGGAAAACAGGCACGCACGGAATCGCTGGGAGTCGTTTAAAATTTCGCACCACTTTGTAAATAACTTTAACTGCACAAATACCTGGTTTCGCTCCGGGAGGATGAAAAAATTTCCAGCCAACAATTTATTCCCTGCCAACAAATGGCGCCGTTGCTTCAATGAGACTATTTGAATATCCCTTTGAAGGCTGCAGATGGACAAGCAATGCTATCATTGCCTGGAAACACAGAAATAATTGGGCAACAGTGGAAGAAGCCTACATTCATGTCTCTGCTGAGACCCAGCTTGGAGTATCTAAATGAACCTCTCATTCTCCTGCCTTTTGTTTACGTTCCTATTTATCATAAAAACTCAATTACTTATGTTCCCCAACATGTATGGTTATTAATGTTCTAATTATGCTTTTCCCCTCTAATCTTTGCCTCGCAATTTGGGTGATGTATGTTTGAACAATGCACCGAGTCCCCTGGAAGTGAATGCTGAATTAGGACTATGTATGGTGACAAATTAAAGGGGAAAGCCGACATCCAGTGTCTTTTAAGGTGCTGGGGCACCACTCGCTGCCCAAACAGCTTCAGTGCACCTCTGCGTCGACTCCCCATGTTTCAGGTGTTTTACTGGGACGAGCACGTTCTTTCAAATGTGACGTGTCGTCTTCATCATTGCTTAATGCACTGCTCATGCCAGTACAGAGGCGTAACCTTTTACAAAAAGTATTTACCTATTTAACAAGATAAAGTGGATGAGATTAAAACATACCATTTGTGCTGTCTGTCTTCACTCTACATGGACATCTTCACCTTTCTGCAATCCTTCCTGGCTGAAGAATTGTAAAATGTTATTACTATTATAGTTAAATAAAGTCAAATCTACTATATTACCAAGTATAAGCTGAAAATGTAAAGTGCTGGAGAAATTTCTAAACAATTTCTTCAGGAAAAGAAGCAATAAAACACCATGAAAACACCTCACCACTCATAAAACAATATTATTGGGAAACTGTGCATAAAATATCAAAATAAAAATGATTGTTCTTCAGGAAAATGTTCCGCATCAGTATTAAATTGATTAATATTACTGCTGCACATTGAGCTAATCTTAAATACTTTATAGTCTGTTTAATGCCCAGCATCATATTCTATAAATCATGTGTTTGTAGTGGCTGTCCTGTGAGAGCCACATATCTAGGAAACACACAGTTGTTCCAAATCACAGGTCTCTTCAAACAGTACAGTAAAATAATAATTTAAAAAATCAGCTAAATTAAAAGGCTGGATCAGTGTGTGACATGGTTAACTATTAATATCCACAGTGGATTCAAAATATAAATGAAAAATGAATGTGGAGTGTTAGCAAAGCAGCTGGTTAAACCTATTACACTCAGGTATCCTAGTAGATGCTAATCTGAAAGTGCTGCTGAGATCGCACCTGCTTAACTTGCCTGATTTATTAGCCCGGACATGGTCAGAGCTGCTGCCTCTCCATCATCGTCACAGCTTTCCTTATAAACGGAGTTATTAAAAAAAATCTCAAACTCAATCTTCTCTACATCATACATGTTAGCCAAAGCGGTTAACAAGGGGAAACTCCAAGGTTACGATGCTAAATCTCTGAAGCCTGTTTACTTGCAAATGCTAACTAGCGTTAGCTAATTGGCTAATGCTAGTGTGTTAGCATATCAAGCACAAATCATAGCTAATCTCAGAGCAGTGAAAGCTGACCAGCAGCAGCTTGCTTCACACTCTGGTCTCGTCTCAAAGGTCAGAAGTTTATCCAAAACCACTGAAGGAAAAAACTACTAGCCTCGAGTTTACTCAGCTTCAGTCACGGACACGCCCTCAAACCTGACAGAGCTGCTTTCATGAAAATGAAATAAGCACAGCTTTCAGCAACAACATCCGACTGCGGCCACAGGCTGGCAGCAATGTAAAAGCTGGATTAACTGACAGGCGAGGAGCTTGAAGTAGACAAATAGCTTTATTTCTAAAATACACATTTTAATGTGTATTTTTAGGCAAGTACTGCTTGCCTTGCTTGTTCTAACTAAATGCCACAATTTGACTTAATGGAGTATTCTTCTAAATCAGCGGTCCCCAACCCCTGGGCCTCGGACCGGTACCGGTCCGTGAGTCGTTTGGTACCAGGCCGCGAGAGTTGAGGCTCAGGTGTGAAATGTATAGTTTTCAGGGTTTTTCTCGGTTTTCAGCGTTATTTTGTTATCGTTTTTATCGTTTACTCGGTTTTCCTGGGTCTTTTACGTGTGTTATGAATAAATTTTCTTTTTTTCAGTACCGGTACTAG